AAAACAAATAGTACTATACACGATATATTTCCAAACTTTTTCGATTATTATTTTTTTAACGTTTTATATTTTATTATTTTATTTCATATGTGATATTTTTCCTTTTTTTTTTTTGTTCTTTAATTCTTTTTTCACAAGAGAAATAATAATAAAATAACGTATATATGGTGTGGGTATGAGATAATAAAAGATTATAAATGTGTATACGTTGTACGAGCGAGCAAGCAAGTCGACTGGTGTAATATTAGTGGAAGATAAATTGTACGATAAACGCGAGTTTAACCGTAGGAAAAAAAAAAAAGAAAAAAAATAAAGAATGAATATAAAAAGGAAAAAAAAGAAAAAGAAAATAAGAAATAAAAGGAGGGAGAAGAGAGAGAGAGAGAGAGAGAGAGAAGAAAAGAATTAAGATTAATAAATACATTATAGATGTTTAACAGTGTGTGTGTGTACGCGTTTATGTGTATTCTATCGTGTAAAACGAAATGCATACATGTATGTATGTATGTATGCATGTAATACAAATACTACTACTCGTTAGATAATATCTTTAGTGTTTGGCCATTTACGTGCCAAGAATAATAATAATAATAATAAAAATAATAACAACAACACGGATGTGCGACTCACGCGATCGTTACGAAATTTTTCCGAGTCCTCCGCACTTTTGTGTCTTCTAACTTCTTTTTCTTTTTTTTTTTTTAACAACGCGTATGAATTTTACACGTATACCACACACACACATGCATACACATTTGTACGGTTTAAGTAATAATATAATAAATAATTGTACACACGTAAAATAAGGGGGTGGTTTTTTTTTTGTTTGTATTTTTTTCTTTTTTTTTAATCAAGAATATTTCACTTTCGTAATAAACTCGATTTAATATTTTACGTTGGACACTTTTTCAAATAAACTTAAGTTATGCAACTTTTGTGTAACTATGATGATATATTAAGGCTATATAACTATCCCGTATAATTATGTAAATATATATACGTGTATGTGTATGTGTGTGTGTGTGTCAGTAATTATGAAAGTAATATAAGCTCTAAGTAAATCGTAAGAATTGAAAAAACTGATTTTTAAATGTAAAATATTTTATATATATACTATATATAAATATTATAAAATAATTAATATTAGAAAGATAAATATAACAAATATTCTTTTCAATTTTTTTTTTTCTTCTTTCACTTAATTCACTTTATCCCAGTTTATATTATAAAATAATTTTTGTAATATTTTAACTTAATCCACTTTCAAAATTACCAGCTCATATAAAATGCTATATATATATATATATATATAGATATACTTTATTACCAATTTCAAAGAATTATCTCGATAAAAAAGAAGGAATAAGATCTTTGATCATTATCA